ATGGTGGCAGGTGGATGGTGGCAGATGGTGGCAGGAGGTGGATGGTGGCAGGTGGATGGTGGCAGATGGTGGCAGGAGGTGGATGGTGGTGGATGGTGGCAGGAGGTGGATGGTGGCAGGAGGTGGATGGTGGTAGGTGGTGGCAGGAGGTGGATGGTGGCAGGTGGATGGTGGCAGATGGTGGCAGGAGGTGGATGGTGGCAGGTGGTGGGTGATCGGCATTTCTTCAAAGACTGTGTGAATAAAACCTGAACAGTCCTGAGTTTCCATCAAACCAGAGGTCTGAGTTTGAGCGGTCGCTGCCGAGGCCTCACGATGGCGCCGCCTGACACCAGCGCCACAATGAGGCGACGTCACGGAAACTTCTGAGCACCTCGCTCTTCCAGTCAGACGACCAATATTTATCTCAGCTCGGCCTCGTGGGACAGATCGTTGTCAGCAGCTTTTATTTACCGGAACGCCGTGAGCTGCCGAACAGACGTGTTTGTAAAACTTTGTCAGATTCTGTTCAAATAAACCTCCGAGACACACGAGGAGCAGAAAGGAGGATGTCCTCATTTGGTTCCTGCTGTGGAGGAGTTTCAGATTTGTTTAAACAAAACCAAGAAGTCAAACCAGTCGGACGAGGACGAGGGTTTGTTGTTGCTCTGATGGCAAATCAAACAGGAAGTCAGCAGGATAAAGGTTAAAAAACTCAGGATTCACTCTGTGGGATCATGCCACCTTAAAACTTTATATTTATATCTTCACAACGTCTCAGCTCAGTAATAAAAAGTCATCTTCACCTGATAATATGTGGATTTAAATTATGTTACAAGACAAATTATTTCATTTCAGCCACAGCAGAAGTCTTCCATTAATGAACACATGATGGAAAACATGACCGATAATAAATACAAACATGAAATGTGAGTTTGAACAGGTAAAAGTTAATTATAGCAGTTAGTTTGGTGATGACAGTAAATAATTTAAAAACAAAAAGGAAACCGTGAATTAAAAGTGTTATCACGTTCTTATTAAATAAATGCAAGCTTCTAGGACCGTTGAGGTTTTTGCAGCGGTTTGCTTCAGGTTATCCTGATGCATGCTCAATAATCCAGGTAGAAAAATCTAAAAAAGTTAAATCTGCTCCTCTGGACATTCATGCATGTGATCAGCTGGTTTTGGTTGTCAGCAGCAAAACTGGTTGATCCACCCTGAGACGGTGCTATTTAAGAGACTGAGCTGAATACAGCTCCTCAGACTGAGGAAGTCTCTCGGATGAGAGACGAAACGTTTCTACATTTTTTTGTTGATTTGCTTTGTTTTGTTTTTTTGAATGTCCAGAGGACCAGATTTAACTTTTTTAGATTTGCTTCAGGTTGTTCCAGGAAATGTGCAGGACGCTGCTTGGAGATGTTTGAGGAGCTCAGGTTCAGGTTCAGGACTTTCAAACCTTCACTGCTTCACAGGTTTGAAAGAAAAACAAACTTTTCCCGTCATTTTCACGGAGATAAATCTGAAAAATGCACATTTTCTCCTCATCTTTCATATAATCCGTGCAGCTGAAGGGACATCCTGATGGAGGTATGAGGATCACACGGAGTCCACGTTCTTCACTGGACCAGGGCCCTGAGGACCAGGGCCATAAGGACCAGGGGCCTCAGGATCAGGTGCCTCAGGATCAGGTGCATCAGGACCTGGGCCCTCAGGATCAGGGGCCTCAGGATCAGGGGCCTCAGGATCAGGTGTCTCAGGATCAGGGGTCTCAGAGTCCAAGGGCTCCAAGGACCTGTCGAAGCCTTCATTGGAGTAAGCGGTGGATCTGCCCCAGGTCACCCTGCCTGATTTGGGTGGTGGGCTCCCGCCCCCCTCCTGGCCCCAGTCCTCTCCGTCCTCCACGCACTTGGCGCGGTCCTCCCCCCGCATCCTCTGGCTCAGCTTCTCCGACAGCTTCCTGGCCAGCTCCACGATGCTGCTCCTCTTCCTCAGCTCCTCGTACTCCTCCACCCGGATGTTGCCCAGGTACCACATGAGCCAGCAGGCCAGGCTGAAGAAGATGATGAGGGAGCCCGAGTAGATCAGGAAGTCTCCGTAGAAGCGGCCGTCCAGCCGGACGTCGGCGAAGATCCCCACGAAGAGCACGACCAGACCCACGAGGTCGAACAGGACCGCGACCAGGAACATGGGCAGGCAGGTTCCGATGTACCGGATCAGGTCCATCCTGGCTGCAGCAGGAGGAGCCGCGGGATGCTTCATCCTTATAACACCTGAGGCGAGGCTGCGCACCTGGAGAGACACGCCCCCAAACACGCGCGCGCGCACCTTCAGCTACACGATCAGCTGGTTTCCAGGAGCGGCGGACGTGATCAGCATCTGATTTCCCTGACAAATGTCCAGCAGCAGATGGAGGATCCGACCTCAGACTGGACGGAAACTCACTCCTAAATGTGTACTTTATTATTTTTCATTAATCCTAATTCTGGATTAAATGAGGATTTACAACTTGATTGAACTTTGGTTTCTAAGCTTCAGACTGATTTAAATCCACTTTTCGTTTCATCGCACACAGAACGTCAGATGGTTTATATCTCCTTTTGCTTTAATATTTTTTATGAAACTATTCCTGCGCTGCAACATCTAAACACACAAAACAACAACGGAACTGGGATAGCGGGATTTATTATTCAAATGTAACACCAGTTATTGGTTTTTGTCTTTATTTTCCAGGCCTGAGTTGTGCTCAGACTTTATTTTAATAAATCTGAGTTCATAAAAATTTAAAAACATAAATAACATTGCTTTAAAATGCACTGCTTGTTATTTTTTTTAAATAAAAAAATAGAACTGTTACTTCCAATGAAAACATGGAAACAATGTTCAAAAAATTTGTTGTCACGTTTTTGTTGCTTTAGTTTATCACAAATAAAATCTGTCAAATAATTCAGTGATGTTTTTTCCTGTCAGCTCTGCTTTAAGTCCTGATTTGCTTATACACAGTATGTACATCAGAATCAGAAACAGTTTTATTGTCATTGTTAAGTACAGTGAAATTACTCTCCGTCAGAAGCTGCAGCCCCTGTACACTTCTTCAAAGAAGCGCTGCCCTTAAATATAATACTAATATAATAGTATATATGTATATATATATATATGTATATATGTATGGGTTTGTGTGTGAAACAGTCACCACTGTCATTTGAGGAAACTGGTCTTTCTCAATTTTTCATTTCCTAAAATTACAGTTTCTTGAAATGATTGGGGTGGCCAAAGATGAATGGTCAAGGCCACCATTGGCCACCCCCTGGCTCAATCTCTGCACCGGTTTCTGGATAAAATTGCTCTTTCCACTCACCAGGATCCGTCGCTCTGCACCTCGAACAAGAAGGAAAAAAAAAAAAAACTACCTCTCTTCATATCCACAGTGTAACTCTACCCACTTGAATATCTTGCAGCAAAAACATTTAGGTTTACTTATAGTCCCTGTTCAACTCCAGTCCAGAGAAAACACTCATCTCCAAAACTACAAACATTCACTTTTCAGATCCATCAGTGATGGGGGGATATTGGCGTACCACTTGTTTTATAAAAGTTATCCGGTTTACATATGAATGGCGGCAGCCATCTTTGATTTTAACATGGCAACCCAATCATTGAAAGGGATCTTTCTTCACCTTGCTGCAGCACACGCCAAAGTGGAAGTCGGTACTTCATTGATTTTTCTAATGCTGACAACGTTGACGCACTGACGGACGGCTGGACGAACCGAGAGTTTTCCATTTCCTCCTTTTTACTCTGCGCTGGGGGAAAATAAAAACAGGGAAGTTTCCTCAAGCGATAGGGATGGCTGCTTGTACATATAGGGTGGTGGCCATCTTGGATTTTGACTTGCCAACCCATTTTTTGATGCTGACCTTTCTTACACTTAGATGCAGCCGCACATGGAAGTCAGCACATCGTCTTTTTTATTTCCAAAGTGTCCAACTCACCAGACAGACGGAGAATATTAACAATTCCCCTCTGTGACGAGGAACAAAAAGACACGTCGCACGATTCCAGATTGGCATAAACAATTTAGATCTAAGAATGGCAAAGAATGCAATAAAACATTCTCAGGTATTTATAATCAGCATCATATTGTGAATGCTGACAATAATAATAATTTATTTTAAAAACTGACGTTCCTGGTAAGAATGCATATCGCCCGCTGCCTTACACATCAAAGCTAGAAGTAACGATCTCGTCTGAATGGAGCTCATCTGCTGCTCAAACTGTGGATTCATTGGAAAACATGACTTTGTTCCTGGAGAAAAGTTCCAAGAAGACTTATGTCCATCTTAAATAAAACCTGGTCACATGTGTTTATTTTTCTGCTGAGTGGAAAAAGAAACTCTTTAATAATTTATGAACGATCTGATGGAAGCTGCTCCCAAAGGGTTCTTCAAAACTTCCTCCCACAAGTGTTTTAAATATCATTTAAATCTCGTGTCCGACGTCACCGCAGTCAAATTCTCAAGATTTGCACGATTCAAGGTTGATTTCATTCAGATTTAAAATTTAAATCTCCTTTCAATCATCTGAAAACCTTTAAAAAAAAGTGCCACTGGCTGCAATAAGACACTGTGAAACAGAAAGTATCAATTTTTGTTTAATTATTTATGACACAGAATATGAAAACAGAACTTTAGAAAACATTCTGTTTATCATAAATATTCACGAGGACGCGATCCTCTGTTTTGACCACTTTGCTGGCGTTAAGCTACGATGCTCTGATGCAAACATTTTCATGCACACTAAAAACAGTGATGTCAGTCATGGGGAGTCACGTAAACACAGGCAGAAACATTGTAAACACAGGTGAAAAAAAACACTGTGAACACAAGTGAAAAAACACTGTAAACACAGGTGAAAATACACTGTAAACACAGGTGGAAAAACACTGTGAACACAGGTGCAAAAACACTGAACATAAGTGAACAAACACGGTAAACACAGGTGGAAAAACACTGTAAACACAGGTGAAAAAAAAACACTGTGAACATAAGTGGAAAAAAATACTGTAAACACAGGTGAAAAAACACTGAACATAAGTAAAAAAAACTGTAAACACAGGTGAAAAAAACACTGTAAACACGGGTACAAAACCACTGTAAGCATAGGTGAAAAACACTGAACATAAGTGAACAAACACGGTAAACATAGGTGGAAAACACTGTAAACACAAGTGAAAAAACACTATAAACACAGGTGAAAAAACACTGTAAATACAGGTAGAAAAACACTGAGCACAGATAGAAAACATTACAAACACAGGTGAAAAAAGAATACAAACAGGATAAAAGCACAATAAACACATGTAAAAAAAACAATACAAGGATAAAAACACTGCAAACACAGGTGAAAAATCACCATAATCAGGTGAAAAATACTGTAAACACAGTTGCAAACACAATAAACACAAGTGAAAAACACTGTAAACAGGTGAAAAACACTGAACATAAGTGAAAAACACTGCAAGCATAGGCAGAAAAAAAACTGTAAACAAGTGAAAAAGACTTTAAATACAGGTACAAAAAACACTGTAAACACAGGTGAAAAGAACCATACAAACACAGGTGTAAAACACTGTAAAAATAGGCAGAAACGCTGTAAACACAGAGGGAAAGGACTGTAAACATGGGTTAAAAAACACGAAACACAGGTGAAAAAAGACTGAACATAAGTGAAAAAACTGAACATGGGCAGAAACACTGTAAACAGGTGAAAAAGACAATAAACACATGTGGAAAATCACTGTAAACAAGTAAAAAAACCAATATAAACACAAGTGAAAAACACTGTAAACACAGGGGAAAAGACACTGTAAACAGGTGAAAAACACTAAAACACAGACACACTGTAAACACATGTGGAAAATCACTGTAAACAAGTAAAAAAAACCAATATAAACACAAGTGAAAAACACTGTAAACATATAAACACTGTAAACACAGGTGAAAAGACACTGTAAACAGGTGAAAAACACTAAAACACAGACAGAAACACTGTAAACACTGGAGGAAAACACTGTGAACCCATATGAAAAACACTGTAAACACAAACGTTTCTGTGCTGAGTTATAAAAGAACTCAAGGGAAAAGCTGTTAAGGTAAAATATTAAGATTAAAGCCAAAGTTAGCCAAACAAAAGCTTTAAAAACAAAACTAAATCTAAAAGCTAAAAAAAAAAATTAGATTTCAAAGAGCAGAAATAATTTTAAATATTTTAAAAATGATCCATTCATTTGAACAAGAAAAGCAAATGTAAATATTTCAAACTAAAAGTCATAGCTGGAACGCCCCAAACAAGCCGAACGTTTCGATGCATGGATGGTTAAGGTAGCTGGAAGTTTACAGAGTCCAAAAATCGTAGAGGAACCATCAGTCTTGGGAATGCTGACTCAGCGTTTACACAAACAGTTCCTGGAGTGGATCTCATGCTGAAAAGACTCGAGTTTCCCCCAACAAACGTCCTCGTGTTGTCACAGGTTGAAGACCGGAGGCCTGTAGTGGCTCGGGGGCTTCTTCAGACTCTTTCTGTTCTCCTTGGTGATGGGGATGAGCACCACCCCCACCACAAACACCATCAGGCCGATGGACAGCAGGGCCGGCCCCAGGATGTTGGTGACCGTCCTGCAGTGGCCGGCGAAGTACAGCCCGCTGATGATGATGCCGCAGGCCAGGAAGCTGCCCCCCGTGGACATGAAGTGGATGGGGAACCAGAAGACTTGGCACTTGTCGCGGGGGCCCTCCGTAGTCCAGACAGACTCGCTGCGGGACAAAGAGAACACGGTGCTCGCCGTGTGGCTGGGGGGCGTCAGCTGATCCCTGGACTGGGATATCGTGCACTCCCCCAGGGGGATGTTCTCTGGGCTGCCCGGCATGACCCCCTCGGTGAGTCTGTGGAAGAATAAAAATCACTGCGTGGTTCTAAAACATGAAACCCCGAGAAGAGTTTTACAGACCAGACTTTAGATGCTTTAGCTCCAGGTTCTTCTGGGAGAAGATCCAAATCATAATTACTTCTTACACTGAAACAACAAAGTTGCTAGAATCTAACACTGAATGTTTTAGAGTGGGGGTGGGTGTCAAGACTTTCTCAGCCTGGAGCTCCTTTTAAAAGGACCAATTCAAAGTGATCTACCTAAGACCCCGTTTACACAGAACAACCTTTGGAAACTTTTGTTTTTTTTATCAACGTTTATTGTAACAAGCCTAAAATGAGCGGGTTTACATGAAAATGCTGTAGTTTCCATGTCAGTCGGGTTGCCAGATAAGAAATCTGCTTCGACCAGCTGGGTTTGATAGGAACAGATACACAATGGCAGATGAAGAATCACATGTTAAGATAGAAATAGTATCAAATTAAAACTATTCAGTTTTAAAGATTCATTTAAGGAAATGAGGTCAATTTGTCCTCTAGTAGTCTAAGCCTACAGCAGCATAACAGCCAACCCTAGCTATAGGATTTATCAAAAAGGAAATTAAGCCCAGTCTTAAAACTGGACAACGTGTCAGCCTCACGGACAGAAACTGGAAGTTGGTTCCACAACAGAGGAGCCTGATAACTGAAAGATCTTCCTCCCATTCTGTTTTTGGAAACTCTAGGAACCACGAGTAAACCTGCAGTCTATGAATGAAGCGCTTTGTTAGGAAAATATGAAGTAAGATCTCGAATATAAAAGATGGAGCTAGGTTGTTGAGAGCTTTTTCGGCTAGAAGATTTTGAATTAAATTCTGGACGTGACAGGGAGTCAATGGAGAGAAGCTAAAACTGGAGAGATATGAGCTCTCCCACTAATTCCAGTTAAGACTCTGGCAGCAGCATTTTGGATTAAATGAAGACATTTAAAAAAGTTTTTGGACAACAAACCAACAAAGTCCAGTTTAGACGTGACAAATGCACAAACCAGTTTTTCCGCATCATTTTTAGATCAGATGTTTCTAATTTTATTGATATTACGCAGGTGGAAGAAGGTTCTGGTAATGTTTTTAACGTTTAAAAATGGGGGATGTAGAGTGAAGGCATTTTATGACTAATTTCACCACAGGAGCTTGAAAAAGTTTGCTTTTCCCAACTCTTAGAAACATTTACAAAATTAAAGAAGAAGATTCAGGATAATTGCTCACATGACTCAATAAGAACGAAAACTGTTGAGTTTTGAACGTTCCTCAGACCAAACATGATATAAATTATGATTCTTTTGTTTTCATACAAAGTAGATTGAGCTTACGTTTGATCCAAAACTAAACTCAAAGTGATCGTCATCGTTATGTCACATGAGTCAACAATGAGCTGCTTATGTGACGAGACCGTCTCAAGTGAAGATGGCAGGGACTTCCAAACGTCCTTTAGGTCCTGCTTTACCTCAAGCAGCCTCAGAAAGGAGAATTGTTTGAATTCTTCTGCAAGTCTCGTGTTTTCGACGAGTCCTTGATGGGATTTAAAGTTTAACCTAAGGGCCACCAGGATTCCTTTCAGAAACTTGCAGCAGGTTTGAGAGTTTCTTTCCTGCAAGGATGGATTTGAAAAAAATAAATAAATAAAATCACATCTAAAAGCCTTCAGAGTCAAAACAACAAAAGCAGTTGGAAATATTAAAACATGAAGACAAATCCTTTTTAATTTTACCAGAAATATCAGTACACATGTCCCTAACAAGTTTTTTTCTTCCTTTTTTTTGAAGAACGCCAATTTTATTTAGTAAAATCTGTCAGTATTGAATTTGAAAAAGACAAAATGTGATATAATTTCACTGTCTCATACGGGTTTCTCTTGTTTCACAGAGATATTCCTTACAGGCTTCCGTCCAAACATTTGAACGAGCTGGAAATGTGACTCCCCAGATCAATAAAATGTCATCATGCTGCATTCATGGTTCGTTTATGATTTCCAATCAACTTTCAGCTTCATCCTGTCTGGTCCTTGTCACAGTCATGAAGACGCGTGCCTTTTTGTTCTCCCTGTACACTCTGGGCAGTATGTTAATGGTTTTTTTTTTATAAGTATTGTTTATTTTAATCAAAAATAATGTTTGTTTGGTCCCATTTAGTTGAGAATAAGAGCCTCTCTGGCCGCACCCTCCTTCTTCACATCAACATCTAAAAATAAAGAACTCACTACAGCTGCAGGTCTATAAAGATTGATAAATACACACCGTGTCAAAAAATATCCCAGATTTAAATGGATGCATCAAAGATTTTAGTTTAAATTGTTTTCCCTCAATCATCCAAATCAAACACAAGTCTGTTTTTTAAAATTTAAGTCAATTTAAAAAAACAAACACGTACCTTTAAAATCTGGATCAAACCTCCACGTCTCAAACCACAAACAAGTTGGAGTCAAATAAAAATTTCAAAAACAGGAATTTATCTGAAAGAGAAGATGACAAAAAAAACGAGTTCCTCCCACTGACTGACCAGAGAAACCTGTAAGAGACAGCATCCCAGTTTACAACTGAACACCACCCTGCTGCGTTTTCTCCACCTCCTCAGGAAAAGCTTGTGACCACCATCACCTCACCATCACTCAGCCATGCAGGGGAGTCGGTCCTGATGCTGCAACCTGGCAGGAAGGCTTGCATCCAGGCCCCTGACAGATTCTCACAGAGCTGAAACCACTCAGGCTGACATCTCTGAAACATTCCCAACAACCTGCAACAAACACTCGGACTGAGCGGGGCAGGGACCAGGAAATGGCCCTCCATTATAGACTGACGCAGCCAATCGGCTGCACACGCTTCCCAACATGTTGGCACCGCATTGATCCCAAAGTGCCCTGCAGCAATTTGAACCAAACGTGGAATCAATGGTTGCAAAGTTAAACCCATTAAAAAGAGGATTGTTTTTAGGTTTGTCACTCAGCCTCTGAAGTTTTCTGCAGCATCATGTGTATCTGATCTAAACACGAGCACACAATTTACATATAGTGTACATTAAAAAAAAAACTTTTAACAGGAAGGCAACTCTTTATGAATTTTACTGAAGTAACTGCACCTCCTGCAGGAGTTCATTAGTTTACTGCTGTCATTGCTGTAAAAAGCTCCATCCTGTGGAGAAACTTTACCTGCAGGAGCCTGTGATGAGCTTGATTATCCAGCAGGGGGCAGCAGCATCACGCAGTTTGTGCTCACATCGCTCTGAAGTCCTGATTTATTAATAAATTGTAATGTTTTTCTAATAATCACATGTAAAGAATTGAAGTCACTCTTTGCAGCTCAAAAAAATCATTAGTTTAACATTTTTTTTTTATTATTATTAATCCTAAAATATGCCCCAAACAAGAATATAATTGATGACTGACACAAAATGTGACATTTATTTGTGATTTTTTTTGAAAGCAGTTCAACATTTCAACAACAATGTGATTAATTTACATAAATGTAACCAAGCTGGCTTTAAAACAGCCAGGCTTGTTAATAATGACATCTTACTCTGATTAAAAGTTGAGAGTTTGTAGCAAAAGTCTGGTTGTGAATCACTTTAATAAGGAAGAGATTGACTTGAATCCTGAATTTTGAATTTTACAGGAAGTTAATGCAGAAAGAACAGGGGAGATACAAACAGGGTTTACATGTGAAGTTTTAAATTACACGGTAAACGAAGTCTTGGTTTGACCACGAGTTTGTCTCTGCATGTTTGTGCAGATGTGCAGTCCTGGAATATCCTAGGAGTTTCAGAACAAGTGGACATTTTATCTGTTAGCTGAAAACATTTAGACTCTTTTCTGAGAAAAAAAAAAAATCAAATTCAAATTAAAAGAGTTTTCAGGCTTTAAAATTGCAATGAGATGCTTCATTTATAGGCTGTGAAACCAAAATAAATTAACTCTCCTTCTGAAAAACTCTTCTCTTGAACTAAAAATGCTCCTTGAATGGAAACGAAACATCTCCAACTAACAGAAAACAAAGTGCTTTGTGAGTCTAAGTGTGATGACACAGAAGCAAGAAACAAAGACAACAGAGGACACATCAAATCTGAGCTGCTGGTCAAAGAGAACATTTGAGTTTTTTTTTTATTGAAGGATTTTGTGAGAGTAGCTAGAGAACCAAGAAAGTGATCAATGTCAGAAAATGAAATCAGTTTTACTTTGATTTAGCTAAAAGAAAAAAAAAATCAAAACAGTCTGTAACTTATGCCAATCTATCATGAAGAAAGAAAGAAATCACAAATTAAGTATCATCTGCATACGATCAAGCACGCAACATAACTCTTGATAAGTTTCAGAGACATTTAGTTCAGAATGTGAGTGGTGAATTATTTTCTGATTTTCCACAGCTTGGTAAGACCAGACAGAGATGCAAGGGGAACCCAAACAGCGGCCATCTTGAAACCGACTCCAGTTGAAAATAAAATGGATTCAAGAATAAAGCCCTGAGTCACCCCACAAGTCAGAGGTGTAGTGCAGGTATAATAAAATAACTGAACTGTGTTGGATTATAATCTGTTTTAAACTGCATTGGTGGATATGGAAGATTCTTAGTTTTCTAATGTCAAAAATCGAATGAGTTAATCTGTGTTGCCACTTGGAGAGAGTCCAGAGCAGTTAATGCCATTTGTCCCAGTGGAGTTACCGTAGCTTCCTGTAGTAGAAACATGTTCCAGTAAAGCAGCTTTTTTTTTCTGAATTTTGATAAATATGTCTACCACAAATGGTTAAAGATATAAAAACATGAGTGTCTTCATTAATGACTCTGAGATGCTTGATTGGTATAACAATCCAAAGTGATAAAACATAATGCTAACTGCAGCAGCCTTTCTATGATGCTTTCAATGTTGTTAGCATCGATGCTAACTTTGTGATGAACATGGTTTTTGATGGATGTTAATAAAAACAGATCTGTTTATGTTAAATGAGACATAAGTTGTCTTCCTTTTCTCTCTT